CCATCACCATCACCACCACCATCACCACCCTGAGAAGCTCCAGGCAAAGACTTACAAAGACAGCAAAGACTTTGGGGGCACTGCTGACTTCCCCAGAAGGAGACACTGCCTCGGAGATGTGCCAGACGGTGAAAGCCGTGGGCCAGATGGGCTCAGGCAGCCGGATGACCACGTGGCCCTGAGATCCTTGGAAAGCCCAGCAGTCACCAGGGGCAATCCGGGGCTGAAACCACAAAGCCATGACCATCAGCAGCAAGGAAGGCAGAGGACTGCCAAGGATGAAGGTGGCCAAGGGTGGTGGGAGGGTCACAGCAGCAGGATTTGGCCCTCGTGATGGGAGGACAGCGCTGTCAGGGATCTGGGGGGTCAGGATGTGATGCAGGCTGCAGGGCTGAGCGATACGGCCGGGCTGAAGGGAGGTGCTGAGCGCTCAGCCTGCCAACCCCAAAGCAAGGAAAGCAACCACAGGTCAGGATTTCTCTTGTGATACCTGCAAGATTGTCTCTGGAGGGTCTGCAGAAGAGAAGAGGAGTAGCCAAAACCACCAGGTCTCCCTGCCTTGTCCACCATAACTCTTGGATGTCCTGTTCTCATCAATGGTGGCACCTGACAGGAAGGTGACCAGAGATGAGGGGTTCCACCAGCACGTCAGGATGTTTCTCTGACTTGCAGGCAGAGCTGGGCAGGCTTTGGGGCAGCGCCATGAACAGACCAAGGGCAGCCAGACTCTGTCTGTACCTGTGGCTCCCAGAGCCCAGTCAGGCAGCTGATGGTGGTTTTCCAGCACCTTCTTAATTGCCACCTGGGTCAACTGCAGAATTTCCTGGGGAATGGAGAGATGGCAGTGAGCACAAACACGTGCACAGGCCGTTCTGCTTGGCCACCGAGTCCCAGCACAGAGCCAAGGAGCACCTCTGTGTCAGGAGAGCCAAGAGGAGACCAGTCAGAAACGGTGCAGCAAGACAGATCCACCCCCAGCACCTTCACCTCTCTCTTCTCCTCCTGGACACCGTGTTCTCCAAGGACCTCTCTCACTGCCTGCAGAATGTTCTCTGTGGCAGCAGACACCTGAGCCACCGTTTCCTTCAGCTCCTGCATCTTCTGGTCCATCCAAGCCTGGGAGTTTCTGGAGGCAAAGGGAAAGCAGGTCTTGTCCAGCAGCTGCCCAGGTTCCAGACACGCTGCAGAGAAGGGTCCCGTGGGCTTTGGTCACCCCCTGTCCCCAACCCCTTTCCTTCCTCTGGTTTACAAATGGGTCTCTTCCACCACTGTGGGTAGGAGATGGGGAAGGTCAGGAGCCCTGGAAAGGAGGTGAGTGAGCACAGGCAGCAGGAACCCAGCTGAGATGGCTCCACAGAGTGAGTTGCATGGCAAGAAAGTGCTCTTACCCCAAAGACTCCAGCGCTGCTTCAGGAAGCCCTGGCATCTCCTGCAAGATAAAGACACTCCACTGGAGCAACCACAAGGAGCACTGCCAGGGCTTCCTGGAGGACAATCCCTTAGGAAGAGCTGGCAGAATTTCCTGCTGCTTCCAGTCACTTTGGAGAGACCCTGACCCAGAGGTTGGGCTCTTTAACCAGCCACGTTCAGCAGAGCATCTCTCAAGTCTCTGCCTGACCCCCAGGCTCTCCGAGAGGTACGCAGGCAGCAAAGGCACCTTCTGCCCAAGTGCTGCTCCCTTCTCCATCCTGCCACCCTGCAGAGGTCAGCTGGGGAGACCCATCCCCGTGATGAACCCCATCCAGGTGCTGAGGAGACTGAAGGATTGTCCTGGTTTCACTAGGACAGGGTTCATTTGCTCCTTAGTAATTAGAAAGTGCTGTGTTTGGGTTTCAGTGTGTTATGAGAAGAACGTTGAGAAGGTACAAGGACAGGGTGTTTGGGTTCTTTCCAAGTGCAGAGGACTGGGGGAAGTGCAATGGTGAGCAGAACCCAGGACTGACAGTTGGATGTGCCCATGAGATATCATAGAATCATAGAGTGGTTTGGATTGGAAGGGACCTTAAATCTCATCCAGTTCCAACCCCTCTGCCATCAGCAGGGACACCTTCCACTAGACCATATTCCATATCCTATGACATCATGTTCAGTATTTTAACCAGGGCTGACCAAAAAGGGGGGGATTCTCTGGGGAATTTCTCAGGTTTGCTTCTCCAGGGGGTTCCAAGAGACACTTACCTTCAACACTCCCTTGCCCTGCACCATTGAGTCCCACCAGTAGACAAAAGCTGTGGGCCAGATTGCCAAGAGACAGTTACTTGTCTGTGGAACTGGTGCTTCTCCTCAGGGCTAAAAGGACCATTTTTGGTTGGAGATACTCACCAAACAGGATGGGAAGCAGCAGGAAAAGGAGCCTCAGCACCATCCTGCCCTTCTGGTGGGTGTTGAATTGTCTAAAAGAAAGGGAACACTCTTGTTAGCTGGGGCGGATGAAATGACCAACACTGAGATGTGTTCAGGCATCAGCACTTTATGGAAGCTTTGATCTGCTTCTATGTCCTTTATTCCCCCCAGCACATGCCCCAGGCATGCAGAATTCTTTCACTTTTGAGTCATCTCTCGAGGTCCCTTCCAATCCCTGATGTTCTGTGATTCTGTGATCACACACTCCTAAACAATTGGCATGATTGGATAATTCCACCTGTCCACGAGCCATTCTTCTACTTCTGACTGGTTACTAATTCCAGCTCACAACTCAGCCCTTATCTTGTCTCATACACATTCTTGCTTGGTAGTCCGCTTTGTTTTATTTTCATTTTATCTTCACTCAAGGTCAGGAATTAATTGCTCAAGGCTGAAGCCATCTGCAGCTTCAGCTCTTAAAGCACCAACAGTTACCCAAGCCCAAGGCTGGGCCACATATTCACCAGGGATCTGTTTAGGAACTCACTTGCTACCAGGTTCCTGTGCTCAGCACAGCTGCCAGCCCCAGGGCCTGGGGACCTTTGGGAAGGTCTGGCCCTTTGCACACCAGCCCTGGGACACAAAGATCTCTGGTGGAACACAAGGTTTGGCCTGATCCCTCCCTGCTTTCTGGGCCCTCTTGCAACCACCTGCTCAACCTGGCTGCCATCTCAGCAACCCCGGCACGCTGGCCAGGCTGAGGGAAAAGCCTGTTCTCCTCCCGAGACCGAAGCATCCCTTCCATGGGCACCTGCTGGCTGCTGCTCACCTCTGCAGTGGGGGGGCTGTTATAGGGGCAGCTGGTTGTGACCTCACAAGAGGTGACTGGTTGTGACCCTCACAAGAGGTGACTGGTTGTGACCCCACAAGAGATGACTGGTGATGCCTGTGCTGACCTCAGAGGGGCTACCCAGGAGGGGCTTGTTGGGAGGGAGAAACCTGGTGGGTTCACCCACCCCTGTAGCTCCCAGAGACAAGGAGCCCCAAAGCACCTTGGAGCACCCAAGAGCAGCAGCTCTTTTGGTTGTCCCGACAAGCTGCTGTGTGGCTGCAGGGCTCCTCCTGGGCAGGGGGTGAGGGGTGCCCTGTGCTGTGGGCAGGAAGGGGTTTTTTGTGAGAACTTGGAGAGTTTTAGCACAGAATTAGATCAAGGAATGGCCTCTTTGTGCTCAGGCGTGGCCAGCTGCTGATGGCAGTGAAGTGTGGAGCTTCAGGAGAGGCTGTAGTTCCACATGGGTTGGTCCAGAGGTATTGTGGGTTTAAACACTCCCTAAAAAACCCGCTGTGCAGGTCCCTTCAGGCTGGAGGACCACCCGATGCAGACTCCCACCTCCACATCCACCCAGGGCTGCTCAGGGAGTGCCATGTACAAACCCAGGGCAGTGAGACTTTCTGTCTGCATCCCCCCGGATCCCAGAGCCCCGACAGGCACCCTCCCTGGGCAGCCTGTCCCAGGGCT